TAGCCCTTTTCCAGGACTTTCCAGTCCTGGAAAATGCCACAATAAAATTCCAGGACTTTCCAGGTTTTCCAGGACCCGTACGAACCCTGAAACTAGAATGGGTTCATTGCCTTAGGCCAGTCTAGCCAATTTTCTGTCTATGGAAATGTTGCAAAGTTACAATGCACACCCTCGTGGTGAGGCTGGTTGTTCGCGGTGGGTTTAGCGAAATACTGAAGGTATGGTCATCGGATATGTCGAGGGAGGACTTTGAAAGACTGGCTTCTAAACATGAGGAATGAGGCAGATAAGAGACTTGTCCTCCATGCTAGGGATACAACTGTCAGCGCTACAGTCAGGTTAACGCTTTGTGTCGTGACACAGTTGTCTTGCTTTTTGCACACAGGGAAGATCTTTGCCAAGACACATGAATAATTTTTGGAACCTCTAAAAGAAATTTGTACATACAAGTTCACAGGATCACATTGCAGGAGAAGAAAGTACTGCTACCGCTTCATCTCACAACTGGGTGTGATACAATAAGCCACTTCGTCGGTATGCGGGAGCAAAAAGGGTATAGATCCTTCGACGGTCGCTCACCGGAGCTGCTTGAGCACCGCGGCGAAGAAAGCCGCCCTAAGGCTAACGTAATTACCGACAACGAAGAAGCTTGATTCCCTTCACCCTACACAAGATGCTAATGCAACTGCACCTACAGCGATTCAACCACCAGGACCAGACGTCTGGTCTCGATATGGATGATGGAATTGGGGTTTTGTGGTTGTACACTGCGTGAAGGCAATTGTTGTGGAGAGGGATGATGTAGTTGTGTTCGCCTGGCCATTCGCTCCGCCAAGGCAAGGAACTGTGGAAACTTGCAGCAACACTAGAAACACTACAGAAAACAATCTGAATTAAGCTTTTACATAGCTTAGTAGCAAGGAGAAACACCGGGGAAACACTAAATACACTTCAGCATATGAGAGTGAAGTTTGACGAATTTTGTGCTTAGCTTGCTAGCAAGGAGTCGAGTATTTAAGAACGGGATACAATTAATAGGAAATGAAGTCTTGAAAGTTGTCTAAATTTAATTATATTACGATCTGCAGAAGCCAAAATGCAGGCCACATCATTAATCTCCAATTCTTGCAGTTTTCTTCGTTTTGACATTGTCTTGATTAAGCCTCGTTTCCATGTTGCACCACGGAGAAAGAAAATCTTTCCGTTTGATAAGAGCTGAGAACATGAGTATTCGACACAGTGACTACAACATGAAAGTACGGTCAGTATGAAGCATATAATAAAATGAACGTGTCAAGTTAACAAATTGACGTCAGTTTTTTATGCGTCTGTCCTCTTATTGATGATAAATTGCGTCATA